AGCCGAGCCGCAGCGCAGCCCCCCTGTCGTCCGGGGCCTTTCCCGGAGCTTCTGCCGTACCCCAGGCTGTACCCCAGAAGCACGGGCGCGGTGCTGAGCAACCGCGCGGTGTTCATAGAAGGCCCTCCGTGCAGAAAGAATGGTGCTTACAAGCAGATGTTGGTTTTTTAAACGTTTTCATTAATTTTTAGACAGAGAGGAAGGGGGAGGGAGGAAGGGCGGGGAGAGAGGGATGGAGAGAAACATGGGTGAGAAACATCACCCATCAGCTGCCTCCAGCGCGCCCCCTACTGGGGGTCAAGCCCCCAACGGGGATGTGCCCTGACTGGGAACCAACAGGGACCTCTTGGTTCACGGGTCGCTGCTCAACCACTGAGCCACACCGTCCAGGCTACATACAGCCAGGTTTTAAAAGCCTGGATTAAAAATGTGTTTGCACAATTAATCAGCGATTACAGTGAGTGCTCCAAAGGAGACATACAGACCCAGGCTGTCCCACTTAACCTGCTGGCTCGCACTCTTCCCAAATTCCCCAAGCTTCCTCATAGCCCTCATCTTACAGTTGGGAAGACTGAGGCCAGAGGGCAGTCTCTGCAGCTGTGTCCTTTCTTGCCTTTCAGACTGGGAGTCTCACTCTGTAACAGGCTTCCCTCACTCTGCCTGGCTCACTCATGTTCATAGTTCAGGTCTCATTCAAAGGACACCTCTTCTAGGGAGTCTCCCCTGACCACTGCACATTCCCTGCCTCCCCTTCTATCCACCCAGTTAAGAGTCTATCTCCCCTTCTGGGCTGTGAAACCCTCAGGACAGGAAGCAACGGACTCTGTCCCTCCTCATCTACCTTTAGTACCTGGCTCTGTGTCCGGCATAGGCTCAAAAGCAAATGAATGTTTGTTGAATGAATAAAAAAGAGCACACTTGGCAGAGAGTGAAAAGGTGAGTGGCCCCAGGGCATGATGGATAACCTCCTTCTCACTGGTACTCACCCCTGGAGGGCCCTGGTCAGGGAGGCAGTTGGGTGCTGCTGGAGTCCTGGGGGTCCTCCTCTGCCCCGCCCTGCTCCAGCCTCTCTCATGGTGCTTGTCACACGCCGTGGTAGAGTTCTGTGTTTGTCATAAGTGGCATGGGTTTTGGCGTCAATCCCAGGGTGACCATGTACCGTTGCTGAGCTCAGTTTCCTCATCTGGAAAAGTGAGGTAAGAAGCTTGTTGGTGAGTCACTGTGAGGATTAAGTGAAATCTCTCAGTAAAACCCAGTTCAGGGCCTGGCACAGAGGAACCACCACATACCAACCATGTGCCCCGGAGCAAGCTCATCCTTTCCCTAAGCCTCCATCTGAAAAGGCAGCTAGGGGAGCCCCAGTAATTAAGGGGTGATCTAAGGCGTGTGCAGCACAGCACAGCAGCAGGTACCAAGCAGGGGCTTATTAAACAGCTGCTGACACTCATGGAGGGCGGCCCCACGCCAGGCACTGCCCCAGGTTGGGATACGCTGGCCTAATGTCATCCTCTCAATACTAAGGGTACCCACGGTCATCCCATTGTGCCCAGCTGTGTCTAAGGAGCTGGCATCCAGAGTCGTTATGGCAACCCACCCCCACGCCCAGCCATGTGTCCAGAGCTTCCTGAGGGAGGAAAATAGACTTCTCTTTGGCCCCTCTGGGGTTTCTGGTGCATAGTAGGTGTACACTGGGGTTTGCTAAATGAAATAGAGGCTATGACACCCCATATACCACCCCAAGGCCCCTGAGTCAGAACACAGCCTCCTGCCAAGCTCCCTGGGTGGGTTGTGGTGGCTTTGCGCTCTTTTCCCCTGGTCTCTCCTACAGCCTATGAATGGCCCCTAGTGCCCCTGTCCTCAGCCCCTCCTCTCCAGCAGGACCTTGGCAACCCAGCCCTCATTGGCTGCACATATCCTTGGAGACGAGACGGCAGCAATGCAAACACAGGCCAGAGAACTGTGGGCAGAATGCTTCCAACCTCCCCCTGCTCCCTCTCTCCACCATGAAGGATCTGCTCACCTCCCGGAACCAAGGCTACTGGCAGGAGCGCATCAGGAAGGAGGCTGCCGCTCGAGTCGCCTGGAAGATCAACTATGGCCACAAGTACCCCAAGGAAGGACCCCTGCGCAGGAAGAGGCCCCAGCCGGCTGCATTCAGCTCAGGCCTGGGAGTAGGGTCCTTGCCTGTCACCAGCTCCCCTGACAGAAGGACTGGACTGCCAGAGACCAGGAGACTCAGGGATCAGCCATCCAGGAAAGTAGGTGTCCAGGGCCCTCAGTCCAGGGGAGACAGAGCCTGGGAGGTCCAAAGAGCAATTCCGGGGCCAGCAGACCAGACTAGACCGGCGGGCTTAGAAATGAGGCAGGTGCCTCCGAGCACCCTGCAGCTGCTCTTCCAAGGCATCTCCCATGACGGCCAAGGCCGGGCCTTGTACCTCCAGGAGCGGCATCGGCAGAAGCCGGAGGAGAAGTTTCAGTACCCAGTCTTGTCATCCTGGGAGTACGGCTGGCACCTGGGTAAGGGCCCCACCATCTTGCCATTCCAGGCCTCTGCAGCAGGCCCAGCCTCTCTGCAGCCTCCTGCTTCGTCACCCCTCACTCACCAGCACATCCTCCTGGCTCACTGCTCTCTGCGCAGGCCAGGCACCTTCTCCCCTCCAGGCCTTTGCACGTTCAGGTGTCTCTACCTGGAATATTCCTCCTGCCTCTCTCTCTGCTGGCTCGCTTTCATATGTCACTGCCTCTGGGAGTCTTCTGAGAGTCTTCCAGGCAGATTTGAGTCCACCTCTGTGCTTTGGCAGCTTTTTTTTTTTTTTTTAACATACATTTTTAAAATCGATTTCAGAGAGAGGAAGGGAGAGGGAGAGAGAGACAGAAACATCAATGATGAGAGAATCATTGATCTGCTGCCTCCTGCACACCCCCTACTGCAGATCGAGCCTGCAACCCGGACATGTGCCCTGACCGGGAATCAAACCGCAGTCTCCTGGTTCACAGGTTGACACTCAACAGTTGATCTATGGTGGCCAGGCATTTGTCAGCTTTTTGAGTCTGCAAAAGCCCTGGGCCCACTGTATCACCATTTCTTGCGTCTCCATCTGGTCTGGTGAGCCCTGTGGGTTTCAGGACTTCTTAGTTAACCTTATTAATATCCTCCCAGCTTGGGGCTGGTACTCAATGACTGTGGAATGAGTGATCAGATGAATGAATATAAACTAGGGAATGAGGCCTCCATTTGGAATCAGGAAATGTTAATTCAACTCTTGGTTATACCACTTCCAAGTTGTGTGAGCTCAAGCAAGAACCTTAACTTCCCTGGGCCTCAGGTTCCATATCTGAAAAATGAGAATAAATTAGTATCTGCCTTCCTGTGTCACAGAGTTTTGGGGAAATCAGATGGGAAAGCACCTTGAAGAGGAATTATCCTCACAAACATCCCATGAGGTGGGTAGGACTGACATTCATTCATTCAACATGTGATCCTCTCATTCAGAATCCCAACTCTGCCCCAAATGAGTTTGTGAATGAGAAAGCTCAGAAGAATGACCTAGTTTGCACTTAGGAGGCCTGGGTTTGAATTTTAGTTTGTTCATTGATTCATTCAACAAATGAGCACTTGATATGCATCAGGCACCTTTTGTCCCAGGGGTACCGTAGAGAGCAAGACAGACAGGGTCCCTCACAGAGAGCTGACAACGAACAAGAGGCACCTTCACTCTTCCAGGACCGAGCTACAGAGCAGAGCTTCCCAAGCTTTACTGCGCACAGGAACCGCCTGGGAATCTCGTTAAAATGTAGGTTCCCATCCAGCAGGGGAGGGCCAGATGGACGAGATTCTGCACTTCCAACAAGCTCCCTAATAACACCGACGCTGCTGGTCCGTGGACCACACTTGAGAGACAAAGCTATAGAAAGAAAGAAACCAAGAGAAGGCGATGGAGACTGAGGGGCTGCTATGGTAGATGGGTGGTCAGGGAAGGCCCAGTGGGGAGGGGGCATTTGAGCAGTGTCCTGAGTCCTATCTACTCCATTGGTTCTTCTGAAAAAAACCTGACACCCTGTGCCACAGAGCGAATCTCACTTTAGGACAATGCAGGTCTTCTCTGTTCCTCCCTCCTGCCAGGCCCATGGTCCTCGCCCACTGCCTGCGAAGCCACTGCCAGATGTGAGGCCACCAGATCGAGCAAATTAAAGTACAGGATGCCCAGCCCGGCTGGCATGGTTCAGTGGTTGAGTGTCGACCTATGAACCAGGGGGGTCACAGTTGAATTCCTGGTCAGGGCACTTGCCAGGGTTGCAGGCTCAATCCCCAATAGGGGGCGTGCAGGAGGCAGCAGATCAATAACTCTCATCTTTATTGTTTCTATCTCTCCCTTCCTCTCCCTTCCTCTCTCTGAAATCAATAAAACATTTTTTTAAAAAAAGTATAGTATTCCCAGTTACATTTGAGTTTCAGGTAATCAATTTTTTAGTATAGGTTTGCTCCAAATATTGCATGGGATGTACTTATATTGAAACTTATTTCTTGTTTATCTTGAAATACAAATGTAACAGGGCTTCATGTATTTTATCCAGTAACCTGAACATTGGAGTGGGGATGCTGGTTCTGGATCCCCTTGGGTACTAGAGCCATGCCAGCTTCAGGGTGAAGACAGGAGCCTTGTTCTCCATGGTGGTTCTGCTTAAGCTCACAGTTGCTCTGAAACATCCTGTAAGCCTCTGGCTTCATGCCCCTAACCCAACCAGTTCAGGGGCCAGATGGGAAAGAGATGACAGACCTCCTGCTGACCACTTCTCCAACCTCCCCAACATGTTACAGACAGAAGATGTATCATCCCAGTGGGAGCAAAGACTCAGCTGGGTCAGCCCCAAATGCCCCTTTACAGAGAGAAAGCACCAATCTAGTGCCCGGTATATAGTAAATGCTCAACAAATGGTGACTGGTATTATTATTAATTATTATTCCAACAGACAGGTTTTGCAACCTATGGGTATGGGAAGGACCCTGGAGGTGCTCACCATGGAGCACTGGGATGGGTGGGGTGGCACTAGACTAGGGGAGCAATGTGATGAGGGGTAAGTGAGCTTGGGGTAGGGATGGGTTTAAACTAGTTAACAATTGGAAAGGCCTGTATTCCGTCCATCAGGGCACATCCTGGCACTTGAGCCAAAGCAGGGTCTCAAGGTTCCCGTGCCGTGCCAGGCGTACCCATTAGTTGTTGGATCCTAGGAAGGGATGGGGTCCTATGGTAGAGGTCAAGGGGCAAAAGGGGCAGTGTCTGTTCCTAACTGTGCAGAGGAACGCACTATTTTAACAACTGGAGCGGCTGGAGCAGTGTGTGCCTGACGACCCTCAGCCCTTTGGGTTGGGCGAGGACGGGCTGGAGGCATGGTGGCCCCAGCTCACCCGGACCTTTGCTGTGTTCCAGGGGATGCCATCAAGGACACCAAGCCTTCAGTGCATGCCAGGTCCCAATCCATCACACAGACCTTTTACACCAAAAATAGTGTCTTCCATTTTCCACGGCGAACAGACCAGCTAATGTGAACTCGCGGGCTTCAGAAGTGGCTCCTTCCCTTTCCCGTGGCCCGCTGGGCCTGCGGAGCAGTGATGCTGGACGCTGCTCGCCGCCCACCCTCGCCTTCGGGGCAGCCCCGGGCTGGGCAGCCCCGCCTCTGCTGTGCGTGCTACCCCCGGGTTCAGGGAGGGTCCCCTGCTGCCCCGACTGCCCTCGGTGACCTCAGCTCCCGACAGAGCTCCGCCGGCCATCCCCAGCCTGTGCCATCTCCTGCACAAACAGTGGAGTCTCCACGTGGTCCAGCTTCAGACCTGGGGCAGCAGAGGTCTTTAGGTGCTAAGGGGATGGGAATATGTCCCTGTCCTCACTCTCTCTACAGTCTGTGTAGCCCACAGTTCAGGGAAGAAGTTGTTCCCATGTTTGTTTATTGCTTCTCCCATCCAGACCCTGCATGGTTCAGGATTGTCTCAGTGCTATAACAAACAGCCCCTAAATCCCAGTTGCTTAAACCAATAAAGATATATTTCTTGACAGCACAGTGCAGTCTGCTGTTCTCTGGGCCACCTGCCACATGCTGACCTGGGGACTGAGGCCTCTCCCACCTGGTGGCTCTGCCATGTCCTAGGACCTCAGAGTCCTGCCCTGAGTCCTCTATGATCAACTTGGGGGTGGGGGAAGAGAGACAAAGAGCCTGGAGAGGATGTGCCCACTCTTCACCACCTTGGCGTGGAGCTGACAAACCTCCCTTCCTAGCACAGTCTGCTGATCATGTGATTTTTGGGTGCAAGAAGGCTGGGAGTGCTGTGTAACTGGGAGAAAGGGTTCTGACACCTGGCCCATTTCTGCCAGGGTGCCCCATGTGCCCTGTGGCTGATCTGGGGGGTGGATTTGAAATCAGCCACCCCCTTAAACTCAGAAGTACCCTCCTGTATTAGTTTGCTAGGGTTGCTGTAACAAAGTACCACAAACGGGGTGACTTGAAATCACAGAAATGTATTGTCTCTCAGTTCCGGGAAACTAAAAATCCCTTTGAAACCTGCAGGGTGTCCTGCCTCGCCCCCTCCTAGCTTCCCTGGAGCGCCCGCAGTCCTGGGCCTTCCTGGGCTCGCAGCCGCATGATTCGCCTTCGCCTTCGTCATCGCATAGCACGAAGCTCCCGGGCTCCCTGTGTGTGTTTGCTGTCACATGGCCATCTTCTTACTAGGACACTGGTCATATTGGAGTAGGAGCTGGTTCTACTCCAGCATGACTCACCTTAACTAATTACGTCTGTTATGATCCTATTTCCAAATAAGGACACATTCTGCGGTACTGGCAATTAGGACTTCACCATATCTTTTTTGAGGGGGACACATTCAACCCATAATACCTCCGTCTGCTAGCTAGGGGTGACCCCTTGGTTACTGGGGTCATCTTGACAGGCTTTCCTACTTTCCTTGGGACAAGGCCTCTCCTGGAATCCCAGACCTGTGTAGTGTTGGTGCACAGAACAGCTCATTGCTTCCAAGGCCTCTGGCATGTGGGGAGCCCAGAGTCATCCTGCACACAGCTTTCTGTGAAGCCACAACGCTCGTGGGCACATCTTGCTTAATCAGGGCACTGTGGCACCCCTCCACCCCACCCGTCAAAGAGCAGCCCCCCGGGCTGACCAAAGGAGGAACTGGTAAAGTAACTGCTCCAGTGAGAGCCACCCCCAGAGGAATCCCAGTGAGGCCACTGAAAACTAACTTCCCTGGGTTTGCCTCGTGAACTTTGGTAAAGTGATTGAGCGGGAAAGAGCAAGAGGCAGAGAGCATGAGCAGGGCCAGTGTGTGCCCGGGATTCTTCCGGGACTCACATGGAGGCCTTGCAAACCTGGGGTGCTCAACACATAACTGCCAAATTTAATCAGCTGCCACACAGCCCCCCGGCTTCCTCTGGGGTCACTGACTGAAAACAACGAACATTGATGTAGGAGCTCCAGTGGGCCAGTCTTAGGTGGGGCCCCTAGGGCACACAGGGGAGAGATCTTGGGGCTCACAGCCTGGAGGGAGGAAGGCTGGGATGGGGAAAGTGGGCACCTTTGGAGCACAGAGGCAGCACCAGAATCAGAATAGGAGGCTTCCTGAGGGAGGTCACCACTATTTCTGTCCTTTAATGAACCAATGCTCAGAAAATGTGTAGCCAGGGCCTGGCTCTGTATATGTGAATTATATTAATTATGATGATGGTGTTCTCATCAGTGGCAAACCTGCAAGCTGCTTCCAAGAGGACAGGCTACCACCAGGGCAGCCTTTCTCACTTGGGATTTTGTGAGTAAATTAAGCCTTACTGAAAACTATTCGGGTAACTATTCTCAGTTCTCCCAAAGAAGGTACCACATAGCTAGCTGATTCATGACAAGCAGTAGATACCCTAGGATGTTAGGATTTAATTTTTCTGGGCAATTATTTATTTATGTAGTTAATGAGCACCTGTATGTGCAGAGCTTTTTCTAAGCCTACATTGTCCAGTTCAGCAGGCATGAGCCTCATGTATCCACTGAACATTTAAAATGTGTCTCATTCCAAATTGAGATGTGCCTTAAGAATAAAAGACACATCAGATTTCAGAGATTTTATATGATAAAAAAATGTAAAATATCTCATTGTTTTATATTGAATTACATTTTAAATTTTTTATGTATTGGTTTAAATCAAGGATTGGCAAACTTTCTGTGCAGAGAACTAGATAGTAAATATTTTCAGCTTTGTGGGCCATCTGGTCTCAATTATAAAACTATTCAACTCTGCTGTTGTAGTGTAAAAGCAGCTGCAGACAGAGCATAAACAAATGTGCATGGCTGTGTTCTAATAAAACTTTATTTAAAAAAACAGGTGGTGGACTAGATTTGACCCACAGGCTATAGTTTGCTGAACCCTAGGTTAAATAAAACATACTATTAAAATTAAGTTTACCTGTTTCTTTTTTCTTTTTCTTTTTTTTTAAGTGGCTACAAGAAAACTTCGAGTTACAAATTGGCTCATGTGATGTCCCTATTGGACCTACACATTTTGCAAGTATGAGGGATAAGATTGTTAACCTGGGAGAAGAGTGTGTGTGTGTGTGTGTAGGTAGGGGTGATGCGTGAATTCCTTTGATAACCTACCCAGAGCGTGTGGAGTTGGCTCCTCTGCTCGGCTTCCCCACTGCTGAGTATGGAGCCTAAAGGCCCATTATCTCACAGCTGCTTCCTGGGGGTATTGGAACCTGCGCTCTTTCAAGTTCCATCCTTTGACTAAAGGGAAGTTACCCGAAATACCACGAGGTGGCGCTGTCGGACCGCAGGGTATGGTGGTTGGACTGGGGAAACCTGCATTCTCCATCATTAGGCCCTGTCTTCTACTTGCTGTGTAGCCTTGGACTTCAATTTCCTCAGCTGTAAAATGGGGTTATGCTAGACTAATGAAAATGTGAACTTTGGAGGCAGACTGACCTGATTTGACTTCTGACTCCACCAGGGCCACATTATGATTTTTGTGGGTCTTAGGCACTTCTGCCTTCATAAGTCACTTCTTACATTAAAAAAAAATTAAGAATTATATTTTACAACCATATTGGTATAAAGAAAAATATATTAATGCTATACATTAAAATTTTTCTTCAACCTAAAATGGTATTTTTTTCTACCTTATTCTGAAAGAAATTAAAATATTTCCATAGCCATAACAGTATTGTGGGCCTTAGACCCCATGACTACTATGTCTCATAGAGGAGTTGCCCTGGGTTCCACTCACCAGCTGTGTGACTATGGGCAAGTTGTTTAACTTCTCTGGGCCTCAGTTTCCTCATCTATAAAATGGGGATCACAACAGACCCCCACCTTTTTAGTGCTGTGGAATTTAGTGAGATAGTATATATCATGCCTTCTTAGAACACAGCCTGGCACAGAGCAAGCCTTGGCAAATGGCAGTTATTATTATTATCATTATTTATTATTATTATTACTATCTTTAAAGATATTTTAAGCTCTAGCTTCTATGAAACTATTAAAATATCTCAAACAAGCAGGAATCGCAAAATAAGTAAGTCAGAAAAATTAAATGAAACTTCCAGGATTTTTGATATGGGAAGTAAAAGAGTTTCTTAAAGCAGAGAGGGTCAGGAGGAGTTTTTACAAATGACTAGTACATATTTTCTCCTGCCATCAGGGAACCCATAGAAGTAGGAACATGGGCTTGCTCCAATCAGCCGGCACCTGGGTCACCTAGGTCACCTAGGGAATATGTGCCAGCTGGACAGACTCTTGAAAAAGGTGTGTGTGTGTGTGTGTGTGTGTGTGTGTGTGTGTGTGTGTACATCCTTGCAATTCCCTTAGTTTCACTTCATTTTGGTAGCTTCTCTGAATCCTAAAGCTTGGAGTTCCTGGGGCCTGGGGCCTGTGGCACAGGGTACCCGCTCCTCCTTCAAGATNACAGACTCTTGAAAAAGGTGTGTGTGTGTGTGTGTGTGTGTGTACATCCTTGCAATTCCCTTAGTTTCACTTCATTTTGGTAGCTTCTCTGAATCCTAAAGCTTGGAGTTCCTGGGGCCTGGGGCCTGTGGCACAGGGTACCCGCTCCTCCTTCAAGATGTGACCCGTGGGTAAGAGACATGGGCTGCTGGCTCATTGTGACCTCCGCCTTCAGGACCATCCGGGTGGAAGGTCTGATGGGGACATACAGCAGCGACACAGGCGTGGACCCCTCTCAGTGGCTCTGCTCTCCCACGTGCCCGCCTGGCTGGGTGGAGGGATGTGGCCTCCAGTTGGTCACTCTTTCCTCTCCTGGCGTGGAACTGCCCTTTGCGCTTCCCTCTCCAACCCACGGGAAAAACCGGAGCCAGGGCTGCTGACAGAGATGCTCCCTTCACCCCCACCCCTCAGGGACAGGATGAAGGAAATGGGGGGGGCAGGAAAGGGATGTGATGGGAAAGAGAAAATAAGGGCTGGAAGCAGGGGCGTCTCCATTTCTCCAGGCTCACTTGCCAAAATACTTGCTGAGATGACGAATAAGGGAGTGGGTGGCAAACATTCATTCTAAATAATTAAATGAGAGCCACATGCATCCAAACACTGGCCTGCCCTTCAACGGAGCGAGTACTGTTCATGAAAATCCAGCCTCCATTTGTGGAGGCAGGCAAGGGGCATTCTACCTGCATTCTCTTATTTAAACTTCATCTATGAAGTTATTCTCTTATGGTCCCCATTTTATACATAAGGAAATGGAAGGTAAGTGGCCTGCTAGACATCCCACAGCTAGTATGGCTCCAAAGGAGCCTGTGCCCTCCACCATATATACCTCTTCTTGCTAAGGAGGGCTAGGGGAGTGAGTTCAAATCTAGACTTCAGTAAATAATTAATGAAAGAAAACTCTGGTTCAGTCCCTGGAAGCTGGTTAAATAGGCAGGCTCCTGGGCTCTGTTCCAGACCTCCCAAGACAGACTCTGGGGGCTGGGGTAGAGATCAGCTTGGTAACAGGTCCCCGGGGATTCTGGTGCACACAGTTTCAAACCCTCTGAACCAAGCCAGCACTGAAAGAGTGCACGCGACCAGGGCACACTCCCCCAAAGGGCCATGGGAGCTCCATCCAGGCCAGGTGACCCGGGGCAACAGTGAGCAGAAGCCCCACTCTGTCCCCTGTGCCCAGTAGTTTGCCCACACTGAGAGCTGGCAGATGCCAAGGCTCCAGTAACCTGCTCTGGGCAGGGACAGAGGGATGGCTTGTCACGGAGGAGACCTTGGGGCTGCAGGACCAAGTCAGAGCCATGGGCGGGATCAGTTAGTGTCTGGTCCACTTCTTCTGCCTCCCCCACCAGCACAGGACTCTTGTGCCAGCCACAATGCTGGCCTTTGGGGCACAAGGACCATCTCTCCTCCAAAATAAGTTCCTTTGTGCATTGCCAGCTTGACCGTTTGGGGCCTCAGAAACTGGTTTTCTGGTGCAGCCCTTCCCAGATGAGGGGGTGACAGAAGCCTTGCCACCTCCCCTGTCTACATCAGCAAGACCTCTGAGGTGAGCTGGATGTTTGGGGAAATGGTTTTTCCTGCTTAAGCAGGGCCTTCTGGTTTAATTCCCTTGGATGTTAGCAAATTTCAAAAATCAAGCTTGTGGTCAATTTTCTGATATAAAAAGCCCACCGTCCCTAATATATTAAGGGAAATAAGCAAAGAGTGGGACCAGGCCTAGAGTATGCTATCATCTGTATTTTTCAAGGTTACACATGGTGCCCATTTATGTACAGACTCTGGCAGAAACCATAGCTGAAGAGGGGTTGTTTCTGAGACAGGAAGGAGGGGCAGGGGGTGGCATCCCTTGTCACTGCTTTTTCTCTGGTGCTGCTCATGTAGTTGGTCATGTTCATGTACTGCTTGAACAAAGCAACAATATAAAGACAAACAAAACAAGTGAAAGTGGTCACCATACAGGACACAGGTACTGTGGTGCCATGCTGCTGGACCCCTCTGCCACTCTCTGGCTGCAGAAATATAATAAAATCCTTGTGTCCCTGGCACCCAACTGGGCCCTTGATCCACTAGGTCCCCCAAGGAGCCCAAACAGTGGCCTTAGTGACAAATGCAATGTGGTGAATGTTACAATAGGGATGGGGGCTGGGGCACCTGGCTCAGGCTGTGGGATGGGACAGGGCACGTGGGCGCAGGGAAGAGGCGGCCTTGCTGGGCATAAAGTACAAGGTGGGATGAAGGGGAATCTGGCACGATACGCCAGATATAGAGACCTTCTCGGGTGTCCAGAATCTCTGGGCTCCCTCCAAATGGTGATGGGATTTATAAGCAGGGGGTGGGAATGAGGGCCTGTGGTGAGAATGAAACTTCAAAGGATGACACTGGTGGTTACTCGGCCCGCTGAGCTGGAGGACAGTTCAGAGGCAGGAAGGTCAGCCGGGAGAGGCCTCCATCCTTCATCCCTGTGAGATGTGATGGTGGCCCAACCTCAGGCAAGAGGGCCAGATTCCCCAGTTAATTGCCCGAATCATGGGGTGCAGCTGGGGCCTTGGCATTTCTGGTCATTTCCCGTGGAACAGGATCCCTCGTGAAGACTGAAAACTAATGTTCTTCCTCCTCCTGCAGCCTCTCCACGCTGCAGGGCAGTGGGTGTGACAGGGGACAGCAGGAGGGGCTCTGGCTCTGGATCTGAAGACTCTCCCTTTGCGCCGCAAAGGCCCCGTTACCTCTCGGGCAATTCAGGGCAGGTAAGAGCCCATGTGGGATAAAAGATCTGGTTTGGCTCAAGTCAGATTAAACTCAAGTTGAAATATGAGAGCAGTAGGATCAGTCTTGTTTCCTAAGTGCAGGGAGCAGTTCTTACTTGTTGGAGCTGTTTTATTTAGAGGCAAGAAATGGTTAATAAAATTCTGCCCCTGTATCTAGGAGCGGCGGGCCTTATTTCTCTTCTTTGAAGAGAAATATTTTTTTCTGCTGGTGTAGACTTCTGAAGGCTGTAGTTTGAATTCAACAGGAAAGTGGTCACTGACATCCAGGGCCTGTAAGGAAAAAGGGGAGATAAATTTGAGAATTAAGAGACATTCTTATTTTAGCGATGAGCAAATTCAGGCTCCAGGAGAGAAGATGAAATGCCCACAGTCGCCCAACAGAACACAACTGGCAAGCATCATCCCCTGACCAGCTCAATTAGAAATCTAGGCAGGTCCTCAAATCACAGAATCATAGGCATTGAGACTCATCCCCAAATCACAGAATCATAGGCATTGAGACCCAAGGTCCAATGGCCCAATGTTCTGTCTCTAGTGGTGGCCTCAAAGGGTGACACCAATCCATCTCCTCAGGACAGTGGCATAAAGAGACAAGATGGCAGTCATACCTCCTGTTCGGTTAACTTATATGCTTTCTGGAAGTTAAAGATGCCGCTTGATTTGGCAACAACAGAGTTGACGATCTCTTGTCCTCTCAGCACGATCCTATAGAAGAAGACAGAAGACAGTCATGTTAACCTATCCTGTTGATTTCTGAGATCAAATCAAGGTCCATGTTTGACATCTGAAATTGACTGAGCAGCCTGGACCTGGATTGTGACCCTCAAGATAAGGGCCTAAGACCTGGAAATAGGATCAGCTCCTGCTGTGGCCCTGTGAGCACCAGGACAGTGCTTCCCTGTGTGGGCAGGTAGCCCTGGTGGTGGAAGAGAAGACTTTATATGATACATAGCAAGAAGATTTTATATGATACACACCACATAGCAATATCTTGCATTCTAAGATTAATGTTTTCTTTGTTATTATTTTTCACTTTTCCTGATTCAATTATGAAGAAAGATGCTGGCTTGTCTTTAATACTCCCTAAGCTCCCATTTTGACCAAGAGAGAGCAGGCTGCAATCACCAAGCATTCTATAGGCAAGAGAATTAAGGCAGAGTTTGCACAGTTCAGTTTGAACTGGGATTCTTTTTATAGTTATTTTTAATTTATGGCAAATGATGCTGTTTTCTTACCTTAGTTTTATAATATTTCCTTTAAATATAATTTATGTCAGTACGATTCAAATGTATTTAAAGACAAATATGGAGAAAAACCATAGTACACTTGCTTTGCAGTGATGACTAAAAATGGATACATGGCAGTTAACTGAGTTTTGGAAACATGGACTGTAATGGATACCAACTGGGGTGATGCAGTTGGGGTCTACATGGCCCCAACAGACTGACCAAAGAATGACAAGATGAGTCAGACTGCCAGTTCATGACCATCCACCGAGCTTTTCCTGATTCCGACCAGCTGATTGGTTTCTGGTGCCAGCTAACAACATCACCTAGTTAACAAGTGATCCACAAGTAAACTCTTCACATGTGGTTGGAGGTTTCTTAAAGCCATCCTTCTGGACCCAGAATGAAGAATGACATAGTTAAGGTTGCCTCATTTCTGATTGCTAGGTATGTGTGTGGGCGGGCCAGCTGATCCTGCTAAGCTCTCCGGGGGCCGGCCCAGCTCACGGGAGGTGCTCATTATTTGAACACAAAAAAGGCTGACATTGAGTCAAAAACAAAAACATTTATGTACCTTTTAAAAAACCACAAAAGATACATGCCGTTAAGGAAAACATAGACTTGACATGGGGTGGTGAACACACAATACAGTGTACAGATAGTGTACTGTGGAATTGTGCACCTGAAATGCCTACAATTTTGTTAACCAGTGTCACCCCAATAAGTTAATAAAATGGGGGGGAAAATCACATGCCACCCTTTGGCATACATATGTATAACACTGGGGTTCTAGTAAACACCTTTTTTAACCTGTTCTCCCACCCCACCTCATCTAATGTGAACATCTTTCCCTGTGATTCACTGTCCTTCTGCTTTGACATTTTCCATCACCTCCCTCTTGTTTACCAGGGGCGAAGAATAGGGCCACAGAAGGACTTAAGGTTCGTGCCCAAAGCCACACAACTGGCATGTACTTTGCTGCCAGCCCCTCAAAATGGAAGGAGGTTGCAGGGAGCTCAGTCTCCTGGAAATTTCCACCTTGACTCTGCCTTCCCCAGTGCTAGGGGCTGCTTCCACTTTTGAGGGCTGGAATGATGGCTTTTGCAATGGACACACCAGCCCTGAAAGCTCCAAGAGGAACAAAGGAAGTCATGGGATAGAAATGAAAGCCACAAAACTAGAGAAGTAAGAACAATTGTTGACCCGCAGATGACCATCTCATGCTTTCTCCACGGCAGGCTGAGCCCTGGGAATGGAAGCCACCGTGGGGCCAAGGCTCCTAGGGGATTCGCTGCGTGTGTGGTTCCTCGTATGGGTGACCATTCACAGGCTCTGGGCACTCTCACCACCTCCCTCCCAACTTAAGGAGCAAAGATGAAAGCTGGTTGAAAATCCCCAAAGAGACTTTACACACACAAGAGCATGCTATTGTTTAAATGTATGTATTTCCATTCAGAAGTGTGCAGCAAAAGCTCTAGAAGTGTATATACCCTTGCTCGAACTGGTCTCATTTTTTTAAGTTTTACCTTAAGGAAATCATAAATATATGCATCAAATTCATATATAGAATCAGAAATGTTTAAATAACTAACCCTTGGTAATATAATAGCCTAATGCCCAATGACAGGGGATTGAATGAGTGAACTGTGGCCTGACTTTGTGATGGAATAATTAACAGCAACGAATGTACTGAGCACTTATCATATGGCAGGCATTGTGTTGTAAGGTTTACATAAGTTAATTCATTTAATTCTCATCATATGTCTATGAGTGAGGCACTACTCTAATCTTCATTTTATAGGTGAGAAGACAAAGGCACACATCTCTTAGTCACAGATTAAGTGGTAGAGTGAGGATTTGAATCCAGGCCTGACACCAAAGCCCATGCTTGTTACTGCTGAACTATGGTGCCCAGTCATGCAGTTTGTATACTGCACAAAGCACTAGGTGGAGAGGCCCGAACCCTGACTCTGCTCTCCAAGCCAAATGCTTCATCTGACCAGAGGGGGTTGTGCCTTTCTAATGCATACTAAGCACTGTATGGGCTCGTAGCCTCTGGCAGATGCCTCCCACCTGTCATATGCACAGTTGGTGCTCATCTTGACAGTGGTGTCTTCTTGGTCCCCAATCAGCCAAATAAACTTGATGTCTGTCCTCAGGCGGATGTTGTTCCAGGCCTTCTTGGGGACATAGCTGCAACCTGCATTGAAGTCGCCCATGAAAATGAAATTCTGAAAGACATGATTTGGAGCATTAGTCACCTGCTGGGCATTGCTGCCAAACTCTTTCATTCAGAACTGCTAGTAATGACTCTCTCCCCCGTGCCCAGTAAATTATGAGTTCTGTTATGGGCTAAATTGTGTCCCTCTCAAATTCATATTTTGAAATCCTAACCCCAGTACCTTAAAATGTGTCTGTATTTGGANCCCCATGCCCAGTAAATTATGAGTTCTGTTATGGGCTAAATTGTGTCCCTCTCAAATTCATATTTTGAAATCCTAACCCCAGTACCTTAAAATGTGTCTGTATTTGGAGAGAGGACCTTTAAAGAGGTAATTAAGATAAAATGAGATTTTATGGGTGGACCCTAATCCAGTGTGACTGGTGTCCTCATAAAAATAGAAGATTAGAAAATAAATAAATAAAATAAAAAGAGAAGATTAGGACACAGAGAGACACTGAGAGAAGACCAAAGGGAGAGGCCTCAGGAGAAGCCAACCCTGCCGATACCTTGATCTTGATCATCCAGCCTCCAGAACTGTGAGGGAATAAATTTGTGTTGCTTAAACCACCTAGTCTTTGGTACTTTGCTATGGCAGCCCTGGCAAACTAATATAGGGTCTTTCTTAATTTATTTTTGCTTTTTAAAATTGAGTCACATAGTGGGACTGTAAGCCCAGAGGGAGGCGGGAGAGAGCTGCTTCCAGAATCAGAAGGGAGAGTTGTGTGGAAAGGGCACCCCCCACCCAGAAGAGCTGCCGGAGGTCTATCTTTAGAAACCAGACACCAATATGTGAGGAAGCCCACTCTCCATGGAGGGACCCACAGGGGGAGGGCTGAGGCCTCTAGGCAGAACCAGTTTGCTAACCATGCAAATGAGCCAGCTTGGAAGTGAGGGGTCCAGCCCCATTCTAGCCTTCAGAGGCTGAAATCCCAGCTGGCCGCTGACAGACCGCACAGCCTCATGAGAAAGCATAAGCCAGAACCACTTAGTCAAGTGGCTCCTGGATTCCTGATCCACATGGAGGTATGTGAGATCATAAATAATGAACTGTCATTACAAAATGAAATAAATAAAAAAAATAAAAGTGAGTCAGTTTTGATGAGTATTTGACAGGTGGGTGTGTACAAGGGAAGGTTTTCTTAACAGGAAAGGGGGTGTTTGCTGTAGCTGCTCCCTCTGGTTCTTAGTCACCACGTCTCTATAATTCAGCATGCAGAATTAGGTGGGGATAAAAGAAGCCAGCTAATTTATTCCCTCACATCTTTTGTCTCTAAGTCAAACGTATGAATGAACGAACACCTTTTGTTTCCAAACAGGAAAAATGAACTTGGGTGGGGTGACAGCTTGGGCACAGCCCTCTCTCTCCTATTGTCCTGAAGTTGAACATTTATTCCTGTGGAAATTCTGTCTGTTGGGGAAGTGGGAACTTAGGTCACCAACAGAACCATCCTATCTTGGAAGTGTTTTTCCCTGCAGGGCTCTTGGAATAGAATTTTAATATTCCTCAATCCACAGGAAGTGTCAGATTTCCTTGTTTGTGCTATTGTTTGGGGCTGTTGCTGACTTCAGAGTTTTCTTCAAAAACATTTTATTTTGACCTCAGTGACCATGGTTTTCTCCAAGACTGATGGGTGTGAAGTTGAGGACAGGATGTCATCCTTAACCCCAGTGACTACCAGCTTCTGGCATGGTTTACTGAACACTCACTGTGTGCCAAATCCAGCTTTAAGTATTTTATAAAGTTTCATTTCAATCTCACAAACACTAGGAGGTAGAAGGACCATTAGCCCCTGTGGGATCAGGATAGAGGGCCTGCTCTACACCACTCAGCTGCGAGGTTCAAGTGGTGAAATCAAGACTTGAACCCCAATCTGCCTCACTGAAGGCTTTTCAGCATGAGCTTCCCTTCTAGTTCATTTTTGTGCCGCTCAATAAATTCTTGTTTAATGAATGAATGAGCCTTTTTCTTGACCTGCTCTTTACCGATAAGCAATGAAACACACCCGCTGTGTTCTCCATGCCCCAGCTCTCAGTCCACACTTTACTCAACTCACTTTGCACTTTCTGCAGTGGAACTGAGGGGGACGGGGGACCAGTGGAGTCACATCCCGAAAGGAGGAAAGGTTTGCAGAAGAGCTGTCTAGAGCACTTCCATACTTGCCAAGCACCTTCACAGACCCTCAGAGCCACAGGCGGTGCATCCCTGTTTTCCAGATGAGGGAACGATTGAGGCTTAGCATGGTAGATGTACTCCCCTTCTGTGAGAACAGCACCCCTGGTTTGGGAACCCACCACCCTCCTTCCCGCAGTCCATGAGGCTGGGGTGGAGCTGACACAGACTCAGCCAGTCAGAGCATCTCAACCCCCTGATCACAGTGATTAGTTCAGGGGTGGACAAATGCCTGAACTAAGACCCAATCAGAGCCAATAAGACTCAATCCCAGGCTATTTGCTGCATTGTGGGAAAGAAAATTTGTCATTTGGTCTAGAAGCTGCTGGTGGCTATCTCGCCCCCCCAAGGGTAGAGCCAGCCTGAGAACGGAGCCCACCCAGAGGGAAGGAGCGCCAGGAGGTGGAAAGAAGCCAAGGCCTGGCTACTCTGTCCGAGCCCTGGATCAGCTTCGCCCAAACCGCTCCTGGACGGTCTAGTTACAAGAACCAATAGACTGCTTCTCCTTTTCACGAGCCAGTTTGAGATTCTGTTACTTGCATCTGAAAGAGCCCTGACCTCTGTGTGTCACTGTTCGCAGTGATATAAGTAGCTGTCTCGTGGGGTTATTGAGAGAATGTAATAAACTCGCCCACGTCCAGCCTCAGCACAGTGCCCGGCGCCAGCTGGCGTTGGCAGCATTGTCAGCGGAGCTGGGTGTGACTCCCAGGACCCACACGGACAGTGCTCAGGCAGACCGAGCAAGGAGGGTGCTTAGGGCTGAGGAAAGGCCTAAAGTGAAGCTGGAAAGCGGTGGGGTCTGCACATGCTCTGTCCTCCTCACTCTCCCGGAGTCACTCATCCCTCTCCAGGACCAGACTCTGTCCCTGCTAGACGGGAATTCAACAGACATGGGGGGTGGGGGGGGCGGTCACCTCTGCCTTCCAACGGCGTTTCACATCCTCGTAGACATCGACCAGCTCATCAATCTCTTTAACGGATGCCTCGGGGGTGGTGTGCAGGGGGACGATCACGAAGTCCTTGACAGCTGGGAGCAGGAAAGAGGGAGAGGTCACGCACTTCCCCTGGCAAGGCCCCAGGAACAAGGCTCAAGGGACATGGGCTGTCCTCCCAGAAGGCATGGGCCGTGTCAGCTGGGTGGCCCTGTTTCCCCAGGGCCCAGCTGGTGGCTGCGATGTGAACGGTCTTAGGATCATGAGCAGCTATTTGCGGTACATGAAAGCCTCTCCTCTCCCACTCGCCCTTCCCTGCTAAGGAAAAGCTGGTAGACAGTGTTCCTTGCTGGCCTTGTGGGTGTTTCTATTTTCTCATAGTTTGAAAAACTGTATTTTTTTCTTTTTTAAAAATAATAAGCTTGTTTGGCTTTTATACTAAGGATTTTTTTTCCTAATGAAAAAAAATTGAAGCATGTCAGTTTATATTCCCTTTGTAATCAGGGGAAAAAAGCCCCAAAATGTTATTTAAAAAACAAAGCAGATTTTCGTGGAGTGCCGAAAAACCGGGGGCCACCAGGAGGGACTGAGAGAGCTGAGGGGGGGTGTGGGCGAGCCTCGAACCTGCCTTGCCGGCTTGCTAGCAGCAGGGGCTGTGTTCTGAATACCTCGGCCTGGGCTTCCCCTCGTTCTGTGCCTGGGTCCCCCACTCCTACTCCAAGCTGGGTGCTGGTGGGTGGTCACACAGTGGGGAGCCAAGACTCAGACCTGGCAGCCTGTCTCCAGGACACAGATCCAGCAGCCTCAACCCCCGCTCTCCTCCTCACGCCTCCATTGCACCTTCCTCTTGTCCCCCTGCACCCCAACCCCTTTCCCACCTCTGCACTTGTGTGTTCGCTGGGCCCTCCCTCTGGAATGCCCTTCCCCCAGTCCTCTCTGACTTGATTTCTCCAGGTCACAGCCTAATGTCACCTCCCAGGGGCCTTCCCTGGTTCCCCCACCCCCATCTAAGGTGGGCCCCTCACCCTGCTGGTCGATGCATCTTGCTTAGGTCCTTCATGCTCTGAAATTATTGGCTTTACTTTGCTGGTCCCACTGGAACTGCCCAGTGCTGTGAGGGCAGGCTCATCTGTCCCATTCACCTCCTTGGCTCCAGTATCTAGCACAGTGCCTGGCACATTGGAGATGCTCAAAATGTTTGTTGACTGATTGACTGAATGAAAAGATATATGAATAGCTTACTCCTTTGTCTTTAATTCCAGATAGAGAGGACATAAGGAGCTTTCCTCGAACAAGAGAGAAAACTAAATAGGACGCAGCTGAGGTGCTATCCCAAGGGAGAGGGAAAGGGGTAGAGAAAAGTGGAAGTGTGGAAGCTCAATACAGACAGGTTGGTTAGCAACTCACAAAGGCTGAGGACTCACTAGGAGAAAAAATAGTCAGTAAAGGGGTGTGGGGTGCTCTGAACACTGCCTTGGTCAGCCGAGTGTGAATCGTGTATGTGACAAAGGGCACTTCTTGCCCTTGATCGCCCCACTCCCTTCTCTTTCCCTACCAGGAACTTTCTCCCAGTCTCCTATGTTTGTCAGCACTCTGCCTCTGAGGTCATTGACCCAGGGCAGAACTAGTTCAGGGTGTTGATATTTGTAGTTATAGATGTGCACACTTATAGCTCTGCATATATTTGTTTGGTCAATATCTGTCTCCCCTACTAAAACATAACTTCACGAGAGCAGGGACCTTGTCTGTCTTGTCTGGTGCCTGGGACAGAGCCTGACACATAGTATTACTAAAAAAAAATTGCTTCTATACAGCTCCAAATGGCAAACCAAACTAATTCTTGACTTTCCATTGAGTGTCACATAGTGGTTAAGAGCATGATCTCCTGAGATGGTGGCTTGGGTTACAACCCTGGCTCATCCACTTCAATAGCTGCTGGGTGGACTTGAAGCAGTGACTCCACCTTTTTGAACCTCAGTTTCCTCAAATGTAAAATGGAGACAATCCTAGTTCCTATGTCATAGGGTCGTTGCAAGGAGTATAGGAGCCTGGCACTAATCAATGATCAATAATTGTTAGTGGCTAATACAAGTACTATTGTTGTTAGAGTCCAGGGTGCAATCATTTGGATTTCCTCTCTACCCCAGTCTGTGGAGGAGACTTCTATGTAGTTACTGGAGGGAGAGGGAGACCCTAGGTTGGGGGGTTCATCTTTGCTGACCATCACTGGGATTTCTTAAAATGAAGGATAGTTGTATTTGATTAGGACTGAGGAATTATGGTAAATAATTCTTATCAGCCTAAATGCTCCAACACAGTGGAGTTATCATTGGTTCCAGAAGGTGGGCTCCAAGCTGGGAAGATCCTGAGTCATGGCATTCTGAGAAGCCAACCTATTGCCACCAAACTACACAGCATTCTCTACATTCAGGTATTAGACATTCTTAACGGCCTTCTCCATCAAGCCTAAAGCCCCCCAGAGATGCTGCATAAACCCGGGCCTGCAGCTCATACTCAGGGCTGTTACCCATTCTTGGGATCACTAGGGAGACTGTGGACAAGAGGGGGGGTGTGGGTCTCACTGGTGTAGGGTGACTGGAACCAGACCACAAAGGGCTCCCTGGAAAATACATCTCCGTCTCCAGCCTGATCGTCATGGTAGAGGTATCTTTTCTTCACAGACACTAGCTTTTCCCTAGAAAAGAAGAAAGAAGCCCAACCAGCTGAGTCAGCTGTCTTCTCACTTCCTTCAAGAAGCAGTAATGCAGGTTCCCACGGCTTCCCTATCCTCCCGAGTGGCCTCGAGAGCTGGAAGGGATCTTTTGCCTGAGAACAAGGCTCAGTCAGCTCTCCTGAGTAGCCAAGGCCCTTTGGGAGGCAAAGGTCTGAGCAGTACTAGTTATCTGGGGCACCCCAGTTAATGCTCAGACTTAAAACAAATTAGTAGTAGGAAGAGGGTCAGAATGTGAAGTTCTGGAGCCAGCTATGCCAGGCAACTCATGTTTCCATCCCTGGGCCAGGACTTGACTATGAAGAATGAAGAAACCCTGAACCCCTTGACCAGGACCCACTGAGTCAACCAACAAGTGAGGTGTTAGAAAGCTGTTCGTGTTTTCTAGTTTGAAGTGTTAATACTTTGCACCAGTCCCCATTTCAACTGGAATTACTTTGATCAATATTAAGAACTGGTTAGAGATCAAAATATGGTTTTGAAGAAAAGATATGCATTTTGGTTCATTCATAGCCACCATTTATATATGAACCATGCTCCAGGGAGCATAGATTCCACTTACTTATAGAGAAAGGCATACTGTTCTTTATATGTCTTTCTTCCGAGCCGAGAGCTAATCACACAGTTGTATGTTGTGTCTCTTGAATTTCTAGAAAACATAAAGATTTTTCATTGCATCTTAAAAGAAAAACATTCCCCGCCTGCAAGGTTCTCCTCCCTCCAGTCTGCCTCCATATCTCCAATGGCATCACACAGAAGGGCTACGATTTTCATAACCTTCAAATCTAATAAGAAGAGCCACCATTGACTGGAAATGTGACATCTGCCAGGATCTTTATAGCCATTATTTCTTGTCCTTATAGGGGGATATTATAGTCATCCCATTTTTATAGTTTGCAGGTTCAAAGCTGGGATCAGAATCCAGATCCTACTCACCCCCAAATCCACATGTTTTAGCCTGTACCTGTGGGAGACCATTGAGACCATAGAAGCTTCAGGCCAGAATCAGCCCCAACCCCACTCTGCCTATGGCTGGGACTGCAGCTCAGGCTTCCTGGTGGAGCAACCTTACCAGGCCACCCTACCCATGCACCACTGAGCATGTGTCATATGCAGGATCCTTAGTCACATTTTTGTTGGTAATTCTCTTTTGCTCTGAAAACCCCCAGGCATTTTCTCACAAGACCAGAACTGTAATTTCCAATCAGCTATTGTTTATGTTCTGGGCACTAGGGATACAGCCATGAAGTCCCATGGACCCTCACCCTCACCTATCCCAGAGAACCCTGACTCTCAGTGCGTTTGCCAAACCTGCTGATAACTCCACCCTGGGCAGAGCCTGACCTGGTTTCATTCCATCTGGCCACAGAGAAATCTAGGGCAGGTCTAAGCCAAGGCAAAAAGCAGAAGGGATGTTTAGGGGCCAACTTAGATCCTACAGAAATTCCTGGGGCTTTAGCTGGATATTCTAAGGCAGATTGGCCATTGGGGCCCCAGGAGTGTGGACAATGGATTCCTCCAGCCTTCAAGTCTGGGAGGGCTGGCCCTCATCTGATTCTGGACTGCTAAATCCTGGGTCGGCAAACTGTTAGAAATGACTCAGCTGTGAACTGAGTAAGGTCCCCCCTCGTTTACGTGGGAAAGGGGACAAACAGGTCTGGCTCTGCCTGGGGTCCATAGGACAGTCTAGGAAGGTTGGGGGAAATGAGACCACTGGAGGCAGAAGGACTTGCTCCAGACTGACTGAGGGAGATGCCTGAAGACCCCTGTCCTCTCAGTCCCTCTACTTCTGAAAATTGACCAGAGCCACTCCAAGGACAACTGAGGGAGCTCAGGATGGTGCACTGGTTTTGGAGTCAGACATGTCCCAGGTTCAAAAGTAGGTTCAGCTGTTTAATGGTTGGGTGACCTTGGGCCAGTCCCTCTTCTCTGTGCCTCAGTTCCCTCAGCTATAGGGGAAATAGTCACAGTTCTACCCCACAAGGTTATAAATGAATTAGCAGGATGCCTAGCCCGTAGTCAGGGTACTGATGGCAGCTGTTCCCTGTGGCCCCTTGGACCATCATCTGCTACTATAACTCTCTTCCTTTTACTAGTAATAGACACACACTCCTTCGTGCCAGGCACACACATGATTTAATTACATGCATGATTTAATTACCACCACATCCCAGGAAGGTGGATTCTATTGTTAGCCCCACTTAAGAGACAGGGAAAGGAGGTTGGTAACTTGCTTGAGGTCATGGCAGGAGCAGGATCCAAACCCAAGTGTCTGAGCTGAGCACAGGAGCCTCAACCCTGTGCCACCCGCCCTCTTCCACTGTCAAAGATCAGATCCAAAATCAGCAGACCTGAGGGGGATTCAAAAGCTCAGCTCCAGCCTTGTATTTTGAGATGAGAAACTGAGGCCCAGGGAGGGGTGGGGCCAGCCCAGGAGAGCGGCCAGCGCTGTTCCTCCTGGACTGACCATTCAGTTCCTACACACACTGTGAGCTCTCCTGACTACAGAAGGGTAACAATGGCCAGATATACTGTTGCTCAATCTGGGTGGCGGCTACATGGCTGTTTGTTTTCATTTTCTTCGTGTTTTGAACTGTTTAAAGTAGTTCACAAGGAAACAGGAAGGGCAGTATAACATTCTCATTGTAGAAAAATTTGGAAAATAGAGAAAATATATAGAAAGAAATCACATTTAAATTCCTTATAAATTCGTACTCTAAGGCAGCCACTATCAACATTTTGGTCCACTGCTTTTGAATCTTTTAGATGTTTTTTGTTTTCTTTTCTTTTCTTTTCTTTTTTTTACATAATTTAACTACTTGGCGCCTTTTGTATACTTGAGTTTATTGTTTAATCTTATCATGTACTTACAAGAGAAACATTATATTAGACGTTTTAAAAAACCAGGATGCATCAGAATCACCTGGGAAGCTTATTACAATAAAGATTCCCCTCTCACAGAAATTCTCATCAATAGTCCTGAGGCTATGGAAGACGCACTTTTAACTCACTCTCGGGTGATTTTCAGATGGGTGGGTCTGCTGATTATTCTTTAAAAAAGAATATAAATTATAAATATAACCCAATGTCACTTAAAACTATTTGAGGACATAATTTTTTATAATTTTTAACTTATAAAATCAATTCTGGTTTTTTGTAAAATATTCAAATCATACAGAAATATATAAAATAAAAAGCAAGTGTTCCCCATTCTTTCACTGACCCCCTACACAATGACCCTCCAATCACAGCCTGCAGCCCCCCAAAGTAACTGCTATTGACAGTTTGGAGCATATCCTTCCAGTCTTTCTTCTATGCCCATGCAAACTCAAACATACTCGTATTCCTGTATAATGTGATATGATTAGTAAACTGGGTTACTCTACCTACAATTCTGAACTTGTTTTTTTCAGTTGCAGCCACCTTCCCATGCTGGACTGTTTAGGTCTAACCTGTCTTGTGGCAAACTTGATTTATAATAGCTACATAATATTCTAGCCTGTGGGCATTTCATAATTTCCTACTGACACTCAATCTTTCTTGATAAGAGTACTTCTCAGCTCAGACTCTTGTCTGTTTCTTTCATTTCTCTCTCTGTCCTGGCTCTTCCTTCGCTTCCCTTATTTTGTTTTGTCATATTAAAACTAGCCCGTTGAAAATTCTTAGGTCGGTGGCTAAAGGAGTTGGAAAGTCAGGCAGCACTGGCCACGTGAACTGGTGGTCAGTGAGTGCTTGCTCTCACACTAAGTTTAGTTCCCTGGGGCTTTTCAGGTGTCCTTGCACTTGACCTTGAACCCACCGAGGGTCTAGGGCCCCATCTTTACCCATTCAGCCTCTCCATCAGCGTGGGACAGATTTGGTTGGAGCTGTCCTTGATTTCCATCAAGAGTATGATGTCGCAGCGTTTGATGACCTGCAGAGAGAGAGGATTCCCAGAGGTTTGAGGGCACTTACTACAAATAATGAAAAAACCCTTTGGGGGCACTTACTATGTTTTAAGTATCAAATTAGGTGCTTCGTTAAATTAATTAAATTCTTATCTAAAATAAATGAAGGACTTCCTGAGGCAGGTGCTATTTCCATGTCCATTTTAAAGACAAGGAGCCTGAGGCTCCAAGAAAGTGAGGAAACTGTCCCGAGTCACCCAGCAAGTGGTTGAGGCAGAATGTGAACCTTGGCAATCCAAATCCAAGGCCCATCATCCATACCCAACTTCCTACCTCTTGGCTTTGCTTGAATAATTACAATAATAATAATAAATATTTATTAAGCCCTTAGTACATGAAAAGTACCAGGCTGGACACTGAGGTATAATTATAATAATAATAATGATAAGAGCGGATATTTATTGTGAGCCTACATTGAGTCTCACCAACCCTATGAGATGACTATTAGTCCGTGAAGCATGGGAGGAAACCAGGCTCAGAGTGACTGAGTGACTGACTAGCTGAAAGGCACACAGCCAGGAGAGGTAGTGGAGTCAGGATTTGAACTCAGGTCTGTGTGACTGTAAAGGCCACCATGTTAAACTGTTAAAACACAGCCCCTGCCTTGAAAGATTGATAGTCTAGTGAGAGGGACAAATGGAAATAACTAGCCACAATGAGAGGGACATGAAATTTGTGCTGAACAAGTCACAGCTATAGGAATGGAATATTGAGGAATAGTTCATTCCTTTGGCCCAGACATCAAGGAAAGCTCCAAGGAGGAGAGGGCATTTGAAGGCTGAAAGGTGAGAAGAAGCTCAGTGGACAAAGAATGCAGGAGAAGCTCCTTTTCCATAAGATTTCTACACTGTATCTATTTACAAAATTGGCATCAAAATGACTAGCCCATTGGTTCAAAGTATGGACTCTGAGTCAAATGGCCTTGGATTCATGTCTTGACTCTAGTACTCACCAGCTGTATGACCTTGAGCAAGCCACTTAAAGTCCCTGAACTGCCAGATCCTTTACCTGTGAACTGGGACTCTTGCCCCCTCATAGTGATTAAATAACATAATGGGTATAAAATTCTCAGTCAAGTCCACAAGCACAGAACAGATGCTCAGCAAACAAGGGCAATATTTATCATACAGTTTTTCTTTTTTTTAAAACCTAGTATTACATTGTGTTTCCCCCACATTAGTCAGTTTTCAAATTCATTCACGACACATTTTTTCTGCCCGCCCCAATTTCAGGCCAGAAAAATCTATTTCAGACAAAGAAAAATAAATTTCCCCTGGCTTCATTTCCTCAGGAGGGTCCAAGGAGGAGGGTCCCCGAAGGCCTTCCCAGACCTGAAACTCAGTGACATTTTCCTGACTCTGTTCACAGAGGGGAGGGGATTGGGGACAGTGCAGGGCTCCTGGTGAGGGAATCCCAGCAGGGGTTGAGTGGCCTGGGGAGAGGAGGATGGGCAGTCTGGAGAACTCCAGAAAAATCTGGGGCAGAGAGTGGCCTACGAAAGCCTCTTTCAGGCCTCTAACCAGGGAGCAGCCAGCATGGTGGGGAAGAGCCCAGGTAGGGTCAGTCAGGCCTCAGTTCTGCTCCATGACCTTGGGCAACTGACTTCTCTGAACACCAGTTGCCTCATCTGTAAAAGGGGTCTGCTAAACAAAGGGGTTGTTGAACTCGGATGCAGGATATTCAGGGCCCAGGACAGTCAGCACTCCTAAATCAAATGATCGTGTGCTGGAAGCTCCGAGGAGCTCCTCCCACACCCACTGGTTCACTCCCAGCACTTTGGAGCATCTGGCACATGGCCTACCTTCAATCAGTGTCTGTTGAAAGAACAAGTTCTACTCTTTAAAGGAACAAACTAAGAACACAGACAGAGGGAGCCTCCCTTTCCTAGGCAGGATTTGGCATCTGGAAAACTGCCCATGATGCCGGCCAGCAAACCCAAGACGGAGAAGGCAGGCCTCCATCACTCCCCAGGGTCTCCAATGAAGGTCGTAATGACAACAGCTTGACCCTGGGCTCATCTCCGAAGTGATAAATCCAGGGAGGAAGAGTGGAAAAGGCATTTCCACTTCCATGGTTGAGTTATATGGTTGGATTCGAACCTGGTCCTTTCTCTTATTAGCGATGGAAGCCTGAATAAGTAACTTCACCATTCTGAGTCTCAGTAATACAGTGAGGGCAATGCCACCTACGTCACAGTATTAAATAAAAATATGACATTCCTGGCCTATAGTAGGTGCTCAGACAAGGGGCCCTGTAAATATTATCCTGAGTGCTGGGATTTGAGTCTCACTGTAAGTGCTCTGGGTGGCTCTGTTTTCCAAAGGCTTCTGTTTACAGGATGGTTTTGCAATGGTGGGGAAGGTCAGGGGCCTTGACAAAGACTTCAGACATGCCTGGTGTCTGGTGTGATGGGCTGTCCATCAGTCAGCCCTCTAGGACACAGTGGCTTAAGGGAGGTGCTGACTATAGGTCCCCCTCAGTGGAATCACCAAAGAACAAAATGTCATTCTCTTGAGACTGCGATGACATTTCCTGGGTGGAAAAAGTGAGGAGGGTGACAGGAATTCAGTAGGTTCCCAGGTTCCAGGGGCCCTCCTCCATGAGGAAATGGGGAAAATAGTTTCCTCGCATGTCAGAGTTTCCAATTGAGCCAGGGAGTCACGGTTCCCAAAGGCTTGGCATGGCTGTCCTGGCTGAACAATATTAGAAGGCCTTGGGTACCATCCAAAGGGCAGGGACAACCAGGTCTGAAAGGACCATCTGTGTTAGAATAGAGCGTCCCAGTCCTGACTCTAACCCTCTTTGCCTAATAGCAGCAGTAGCAGCTCCGGTTTGTGAAGATCACCTGTCTTGTCGCCTTACTCACCTTGTGCTACAGGTTGTGTAAGGCCCGTGTTACTGAAAGACCCTGGAGGCTCAGGGAGCAGAAGGGACTTACTTCTCAAGCTCACTCACCCTGCTGCCCAGTGGGATCTGAAGCCAGGCTCCTGGCATTCCCACTATACCATGGTGCCTTTCGAGATTTCTAAGGTAATAACACCCAGTCAGAGTCCTGGGAAAGTTTTCAGCAACTAGCATGAAAAATAAATTAACCTGTAGGCTAGAGAGTCAACAGACGCCAGAAAATTGTGGGCAGAGTTCCCAGGCATTGGTTATATTAGCCAGAAAAAGTCTTATCGCTCTCATCATTGATGTCTCTCTCTCTCTCTCTCCCTCTTCCTTCCTCTCTCTGAAATCAATAAAGACATATTAAAAAAAGAAAAGTCTTATCTAAGTGGAGAAAAAGATTAGAATTGGGAGCTGGGACAAGGGAGATGGGATGGGGGGAAGGCAGGAGGAAGAGAGAAAGAAGGGGAGGGGGAGAGAAAAGGGAGGGAGGAGGAAAGCAAGTGAAAATCTGTGCTGCATTGATGGTTAAAAGACCAGGCTGGGCTGGCCTCCCACCCACCCACAAGCTGTGCGATGTTACTTCACCTTTCATGTTCGTCATCTCCTCCTTCCTAAGGGTTATTAAGTGAAATCTTGTTTTTATAATGCCTGACATGGCATTCAATAAATGGTAATAAGAATTATAATAGTAGCCAACCCTTACCTGAGCTTGCTACGAGCCAGCAGCAATGGTACTGCTTTTGGAGCTTTACACCTATCAGCTCATGTGTCCCTCAGAGCAGTCCTACATGGCCCTGACTGGGTAGCTCATTGGTTAGAGCACCGTCCCGCTATGCCAAGATTTCAGGTTCGATCCCTGGTCAGGGCACACACAAGAATCAACCAACGAATGCATAAATAAGTGGAACAGCAAGTTGATGTTTCTCTCTCTCTCCCCCATCTCTCTCTGTCAATAAATAAAATTAAAAAGAAAAAAAGAAAAAAAACAGCTAAGAAACAGTCCTACAGGGAGGTACCGTTATTACCCCCATTTTAAGATGATGACAAGAGAGGTGAAGTGACTATTATAATTGTTGCTGTTGCTATTGTTACAAAATTCCAAGCCAGCTGCTACCTTCACCCAAGGAACTAACTTTAGTTCAATTCCTCCCGAGTCTCTCTAAGTCTGGGAGCAGTAGAGAGGATGTGAGGGGTGTCCGTCGACCCTCGGACAGGAAGGGGGCTCACCTTCACGATGACATCCATGGCCTTCTGGTTTTCCCTCTTGGTTTCCCCAAAGGACTGCACGTTAAAAGAGCAGACCCTGAGGGCCAGGGCGCCGTCGATGGAGAGGAGCAGCAGCAGGGCGGCCAGCGGCAGAGACATCCTGGCACTGCTCCTGGATTCAGGGCTCAGCTCGAGGACAGCAGTGTTTGGCGTGCAGGCTCCCAGCCACCTCTTTAAGCCACCTCCTCACTCAGCTGCCTTATAAAGCTTGCAGATAACAGGAATTACTGGATTCCTAGTTGCTACTTTCACTTCTGTGAGGAACTGAAGATCATGGGTTTCATTCCCAAGGAAATTAAGGAAATGGGCTAGTTTCTTAGGATCCCCTGTTTTTGTCACTCTGGTGAGAAAATTGGCCTGCCTAATTTAGGCACCATCCCCTGCAAAGGCACTGGGAGCCAGCTGTGACATCTGGGAGCCAGCTGTGACATCTGGCCATCTCTCCTGTGGTCACAAAACGCCATATGCCTTTTCTTAAAATCTGATAAACTTGGAAGTGGTCCACCCCAGAGGGCACCTGGGGTGATGGAGCCTTCTTTGGGGGGACAGTGAGGCAGGGGCAGTGGGAAATTCTGCTGTGTTTTCTGCCCTCATTGGGATTTGGCAGCCAGCTGTCCCTTGACACATCCAGGCTCTGATTCTGTAACCACTCTGATGGGCATAATTAAGGTCAAGTCTAGTTTGAATGCCAAATGCTGGAAGTGTGTTGCCAGGGCTAGCAAGCGCTGGTCTGCTAGAATCAGTGACATATCCTTGGACTTTAAGGACAAAGAGCTGGTTAAAGCCCCTGGAGGAATCCATGATTCAATCTGATATTATTTTAATGTTTGTGAGAGTCATGTGGCCCCGAGAAAGGAAGGCCTTGCAAGAATTGTAGGATTTCAGCCCAAACAAAATGACTTTTAGAGATTTGGGCAGGAAGATATGAAGATGTGAAAATCAAAAGAAATATAAAGTTCAATCAAATTATAAACCCAGGTAAGATTTCCAGATTTTAGCAAAGAAAATCCTTCTGTGAAGAGGGCACATCATGAGCATAACTTGAAACCAGCATTGGGATCTCTGGACCACCTCCTCTCAAAGTGATGGGTGTGTGGTCATAGCCCCAGGGAATGTATGTGTATTGCCAACATATGTCCAGTCAGCATCTTGACCAGGACCTCTGGCCAAGTACACCCAGGCATTCTTAAGAGATAACCCCAAATATACATGGAAGGATGTAACGGTTTCCTGAGCTCCTGGTGAGCTGGACCGCCTGTTACTTACAGCCCAGACCTCGGGCCTGGGGGAACCTCTGGTGACTACAGCTCTGGCCAATGGGGTGGTGATCGTCTGCCTTGGCGAATGGCATCTTCCAACTAGAGGAAGAATTAAGTGAAGCACATATTTTTTTGTGTGTGTGTCTTTTAAGAAGGGATTTGTATATATGTGGTATTTTTATAAACTTGTAACACTTGAGAAATTTGGGTCTATTAAATCGACAGTCTTGTAATGCCAACAAAAATTGTGCATGGAGAGGAGACATCAATTTAGATTCGTGACTTTAACTTGAAACCTAAGTTAATGTACAGTTCTGGAACACTTATAAAAAGTTTACATTAAGGCCTGGGCCAGGTAGCTCAGCTTATCAGAGTGTCGACTGGATACTCCGAGGTTTCGGGTTCCATCTCCTGTCAGGGTATATACAGGACTCAACCAATGAATGCACAATTAAGTGATTAAGTGGAACAACAATTCAATCTCAATCTCTCTCTCTCTCCCCTTCCTCTTTCTCTCTAAAATCAATCAAGAAATTTTTTTTTTTAGGTTAACAGTGTTTTATAAGTTTAATTTATTAGAGTTAAAATTATTTAGTATTAAAAAGAATGGCTTTTTGTTAGTTCAGACAGTTAAAGAATTTTTCAAGGAAGTAGGGTACAATTTAAACTTTAAAAACTGTTTTAAAGTTTTGTAAATGGGTCCATAGCCCTTTAAAAATAATAATTTGTTTGCTGGATGTAGGGTTTACAAGTTTTGCAAATAAAAATACAGAGGACTAAGTACATCTGACCTTTAGATAATTGGAGTTTAATTGGACATCTTATATTTTATTTGGCAGTCTTAGCTGGACTTATAAAAAGAATAAGAACTTTCATAAGCTGAACTTAAAAGCATGACATTTCCTAAGGCAATAACCACCTTGTCAGGGGCGGGGGAACGTTTTGTTTTAGTTCCCAGCGTGAAAAATAAAATAACCTATAAGATGAGAGAGCAAACTGATACGTTTTTGAATTATTAACTTTGATAATTTAAATATTAACTTGAAAAATAAACCCCTAAAGAGTGGTTTTGCATATAGAAACTGCCCTTGAGGACTTAAAAAAAAAAATCACATGGACAGACTAAAGAGATTGGCCCCATTCTGCAACTAGCATATTCATTGCCTGGAATTGGACGTAAAAATAAAAGTAGCTGGATTCTGGAAGGAAAACCCTAAGAGTCAAATTTAACTGAATCCAACTAGGTGCAGGGACGTCATTGAGGGCTTCCTGTGTTTCCTCTCACTCATACTCCCCCAAGCCCTTACTGTGCTGCCTCCATTTTACAGATAAGCAAACTGAGACTTGTGCCCGAGGATACACAGCTGGCATGTGGCAGAGCTGGGATTCAAGGCCAGCCACCCTGAGCCACACCAGCCTGCTCCCCGGCGGAACCAGGAGAGAACCTTAGGAAGGAACTCTACGGACCGGGGCGGGGGGAAGCAGAAGGAGGGCTTCCAGTTTTCACTGTATGCACTTTGGTATTGGATTTTTTTTAAAAACAAAAACACGTATTTGTTTAGTAATTTAAAAGAAAGGTAAAAGTGCTAGAATATTTTTATTTTTTTAAGCAGGTTAAACAGTGTCCATGCCAATATGTCTCTGTGTGCAGCTGAGCCATGGGCAGCTTTCACCCGGTTCCAGGAGTCACCGACTACCGAGGGGCCGGGTGACAAGGCTGTGCTGGCCACTCAGCAAAACCCGAACCCTCCCTCATCCTTCCGTTTTGGCTCTAGTGCTGGGAACTGCAGAGTGTGAGACAGTCCCCTCAGGAGCCTGGAGCCTGGAAGGAAAGGCAGCCACTGGCCCGACCACTGAACACTTTGAGGTGTCCTTTCTTCTGCCACTTAGTGGCTATGGGTGGCATTTCCTGGGGCATATACTTCCAAACACTACTCTATAGGATGCTCCTGAAAAAAAGGATAGATATATATCACTCCTTTTTGGAGATTTATAATCCGTATTAGCATATTAAATGTTCTGAAAAGTCCTGTATTGAAGAAAGCTGCTAAAATGTGTTGAAACAGGGTGTCCTGAATTTATTGTCCATGGAACCCTTTTCTTCATATAATTCCCTATAATACCTTGAGCAATGTCCACCTTGAAAATGAGATTGGGTAAGAAGAGTCAGACCCTTCAAAGCCGTAAGCTCCAGTTCTCGTCAATAAGTCCCTACCAAGGAGTCCCATGCATGTCCTATGAATGGGCGGAAGTGTGGACCAGGAGTTCAGACACATGGCCCCAAACACCCAAGGCCATTCGCCTCGGGCCCCAGTGGGTCAGGAGTCAGTGGGGGCCAATACACTGGGATGCAGGACACCTCAGAATGTGAGGAAGGCATGATGGAGATTCCAGGGGGGGTAAAAGTGCCTCAAGCTGAGTCACCCTAAAGCAGCAAAATAAACAAAGGGCCTGTAGGAAAGTCCCCGATACTGGCAGGGGATGCGTCCCGGGACCCAGACAGGTGTTTCCTGTCGTGATGCTGCTCTTTGTCTAACAGGGAATGAGCCCTGGCAATAATCTTGTAATGTATGCAGATTGCTCCAGTCATCACCTTTCACAACCAGCATGGGGTGTGGGGCAGGGAAGGTGCCTTACGTAAGGTTGCCTAATGGAGACAGACCTCACTTTTGTCTGATGGTTTCCAGCAAATGAGGCAGGCTCTGGGTTTAGACCTCGTGCAGCATCTTCCACACAGGCCTGTGCCTGGACCTCAAGCGGGTCACTTTCTGAAGGGCAGGCCTTGGTGTGTCACTGCTCTGATTAGAACCCATCAAAGGATCTTTATTTGACATAAAGACCAAACTCCTTACTGAGGCCTTTACCTTCGCATCCCTTCAAGGTCACATCGCTCTACCCTCCTCTTCGTCCCCCACTGGGTTCCCCTCACACTGCCTAGCTTTCAGGTCCCACCTCAGGGCCTTTGCACAGCTGTTTCTTCCATCTTCAATGCTCTTCTCCTTCCCACATTCAGGTTTCAGCTAAAATGGCACTCTCAGAGAAGCCCTGCTGCCCCTCAGCCCATGAGGCTCTTATCTCTTATTGTCTTTCATGGCCTACTTCCTCTGTTTAGTGGCAGTATCACAATATATTGTTATCTACAAGCTTGTGTGTTGTCTAATGTCTGTCTCCTTCCCAGACAGCTCTATGGGGCAAGGACATGTATGTGCATGTGAGCTGCTTGGAAAAGGTCTGGCATGTAGCAGGTGCTCAGTAAATCACTGTTGAATTCCTGATATGATGCTCTGATTGACTCCAGGGTCCATCTTCTCGACCACCCTGTGAGAGTGCTGGGCCGGCGGAATTCAGGTCCCTGGATAACCTAAGGAAACCTCAGGAATTCGGGTTCTCAGGATTGATTCCTTTGCCAGCCCTTTCTTTATAGATACTAAAGGGCCCATTAACTCCAGAACTTATCTGACCAATTGCAAACTCTGTGCTGGTGTTGTTGTAATTAATGGTTTTGATCTTCCAGAATGGACTAGGGAGAGGGGAATGACACACTGGCCTCCAGTGCAAAATTTAAGGGGGGGCCAAACAACTCAATAGTCAAGATAAATAATATTTTAATGCAATATTTTTGAATAATCTAAATTAAGGCAGAAACATCCACGATGAACAAAGTATCAAAATCTCAAATAACAATACAACCCAGCCCTGAACTTTCATGACTCTGCACCTCACCCTAATCCTGCTGCTGGGATATGCAGATCTGTGAAACCATTCTGGGCACCCCTGGACTTGAAAGCCTGTTGGTCAAAGGATGACATGGGGGAAAACAGCGCCCTCTTCTGGCTGATGGTGAACACTGTTCTTCTCCTAGGGAGTCAAGTTCACCTTCTTTGCACATCTCAGTGCTAGAATAGAGATCACAGCGCTTTTCACCCTGGCCTTTTCATGAGACATCTAGGTTGAGAGGTTGCAGGCAGGTCAAAAGATACCATTAAAGCCGAGGCTCACCTCTTCCCCTGG